GGGGGGGGGTTACACCTATTCGTCTCACATACCTATCAATCGTGGAGCAAACCTAGAACAAAACAGATCTGTTTATCCGCCTAAAGTGAGAGAGTATGAAAGCATCATGTCAACGATAGTTGTAGCATAAAGTACCAAATACACCATCGCATTAGTAGTAAACATTACAATCAATCTGACGCATATTATGTTGTTAAGCATTTCACTAAAACAAGTTCGGTGGATTGAAGAGTTATATATCAGGGAAGAAGTCGAATTACCAATCAATCAGAGTACACACTCAACTTTAAACCATCAGCAAAGACAATACATCCTAGTTTATCTTCAATTTCATCAAATTGTAACTCATTTAGCCTTCAATTCTCAAACACAATTTATGTTAATAGAAAAAACTACAAGATGAACAAAATGGAAAGATTTATACAACACAATAAATTAGAATAAATAATATACAAATGACAGATTCTGAATCCAGTGAATTCTAAACGGAAAGGGGATATTACCTATCCTTTAGGGTTCGGATATCGATTGCCATGGCGTTGTCGGTTATCACGTCGCCGGGCGGCAGAACGGCACCTTGAAATGGCAAAGCTGGCTATCGGTGGGTGGGTGAGTGGGGGAGGGGGGTTAAAACTGAAAGATGCACCGTTGATTGGGGGAAATTTTACAATGATAAAGAAGGGTAGAAATTAAAGGTATAACACTGTTGTTCTTCATCAATTCATTGAAATGGGATCTGTGACCAAATTAGAGTTTATGGAACCACTCGATCAAATCAATTCTCCGATTCCGATCATCAACTTTCCGATGTACGGCGACCGTTAATTCAAGGTTTTGATGACTTTTCCGCCGAATACAACATGTTTTACATCCGGTTCATATTTTTTCAATATATTTTGCATCATTTTTTACGTATAACAATACAAAAATTAAAAGTTGCTATAATATTATTTATTTATATAATTTTTAATAAATGGGAAATTTTATTTTATTTTTTTCCAAAATACTCCTTAATTTATAATTTTATTCCTTTACGTTCCAACAGATACGTTATCATTACTTCTATGGTAAATATTAAAAAATTATAAAATATTATATTCAACTTTAATTGTCTCTTTAAAAGGGTACTCGTGCAATGCAGCGAGATAAATATCAATTTTAATGTTTTGTTTTATTTTTTTTTTGCCGATGTTATAAAACGGTTTAACGTGGTTTTTAAAAAGCGATAATGTTTTTATTTTTGAATAAAATATAAACTTGAAGATATTCTAAAATTTTAAATATATATATATATATATATATATATATATATATATATATTAGTATCAAATTAACTATTTAGAGGTGTTTGGGATTGCTTATAAAAACAACTTATTGACTTATTCCGTTGTGACACTGGTAATAAGCACTTTTGAGTGTTTATATAAACAACTTATACCGGCGTCAAACCGGTAATAAAGAGTTTTTGAAGAAGTTAAACACTTCTGACTTATAATAAGTTGATAAGTATCTTTGTAAAAGAACATAAGTTGTTTCAAATAAACAATCCAAAAACACCCCCTAAAAGTTTTCGTTTTTATAATTTCTTTAACTCAATTTTTTTATTATAATTAATTTAGATTTAATAAAAAAGTAATTTATTTTTGGTTTAATAATACAAGTTTCTGTAAATTAAGTATTATGCTATGACTCATTGATTATCCTAATTATATATATTAACTTTTTATATTTAAAATGAGACGTTTTATCCTTATTTGATTATGTTTATCTGTTGTTAGTTACATAAAGCTTTAATAAGTAGTACTTGCGTACAATTTAATTGTAATCTTGAATTTTAAGTAATATACATCAATAAATAATATTTTGTGCATAAAAATTTGTTTTTAAGAGTTTTTATCAAATGTTTTATAATATAATATAGATAAGATTAACTATATTAATAAATTATTTAACACATTTATAAAATATTGTTTTCTTTTCTACAAATTTAATTTCAATATTTATTATTGATAGAAAAATATTAAAATATTATTTATCTCTTTTTTATAGAATTTTGAGATTTCTCTAAATTTGGAGATTTTCACCTTGGGTTAGGTTCCAGTGAAAATGAAAGTTATGATAAGAAAATAAGAAGTGATCTCTACCATTGGATCAATTATAAAAGAAGAGAATCAGTAGATTAAATCTTTTTTAAAACACAATTTATGAGTTGTTTTTGGATTAAAAGTGATCAAGATACAAATCAATTGTTACACTTCTCACCTTAACTCCTACTCTCACATGATCTTTTGTATTTCTATCTTAGAGGCTGTTTAGCAGTTGCTGAATGATTTGGTGTAGAATGATTAAGAAGCTCTCATAATATAGTGCAAAATGAAATATAATTGTTTGGTTATTGTTTACAATGAAATTAGGGCACTGAATGGTTAAGGGAGACTCATTATACAATATCATTCAAAGGGTTTTAAAACCATTAAGAGACAGACTTTTTTTTTGCCAAACAAAATTCAGCTCTTAGTGATTCAGATATTGACTCTTAATAGAACTATTAAGAGGTAAAAAAATAACCCCTTACTATATCATTTAACATAGTTGTTGAAGTAAAAATAAACTAAAATTCTTCAGAGTTTTCTATTTTAACATATTTATTGAATATGCTCTTATTTTTATTCATGGATCCGATATTTTTATAAACAAAAGTATAGCAATAAATGTTAAATGCATAATAAATCTGTTTTTGGATCAAATAAAAATAATAAAATTATTATTTATATTTACATTGTTATTTCAAATAATTTTTAATTGTTTTTATTCTTTAAGGCAGTGTTTGACAAAAATTATCTAGCTTATAAGTTAGCTTATTTTTTGGATACATGTTATGATGCACATAAGCTAACTTATTAAAACGCTAATTAAAGTGACATTTTGGTAGTTTATTGTCAAATTTTCAATTATAACCCTCATTAATATTAATTATTATTTATTAGTATTAATTATAAATCAATATTAATAAAATTTAAATATTACTAATATTAATTAATTATTAATCACATATCATGCATTA